ACAGGCACCTATGTTGACGCGATTCCCCCATCTGGGGCAAACATCGTCAGTGGCATGTGGATCTTCAGGGGAAGCGGCCGCCGCGCTCTCCGCCTGTCTTCAAGGCGCGGTACGTGGCTCGTGGCTTCAGTCAGCGGCAAGGAGTTGACTACTTTCAGACCTTCTCTCCCACCCCGAAGATGACCACTCTTCGGGTGCTACTACACATAGCCGCTCAGCGTGACTACGGGCTTCACTCCCTTGACTTCAGCACTGCTTTCCTGCGGGGTAGCCTGCACGAGGAGATCTGGTTGCGCCGTCCACCTGGCTTCACTGGGACTTTCCCTCCTGGCACCCAGTGGAGCCTCCGACGGCCAGTCTACGGTCTCCGCCAGGCACCGCACGAGTGGCACGACACACTGAGGACTACGCTTGCGGCTCTTGGGTTTGCTCCCTCTACTGCTGACCCGTCGCTGTTTCTACGCCCCGACACCTCTTTGCCGCCGTTCTACATCCTCGTGTATGTCAACGACTTGGTCTTTGCCACTGCTGACATTGCTGGACTTGCCCATGTGAAGTCGGAGCTGCAGAAGAGACACACGTGCATAGACCTGGGTGAACTGCGCAGCTACCCTGGCTTGCAGATCACCTGAGACAGAGCACGCCGCACCATTACCCTGACTCAGTCACACATGGTGCAGCAGGTCCTTCAGCGCTTCGGCTTCACGTACTCCTCGCCTCAGGCCACTCCTCTGCCTACTCGCCACTCGCTCTCAGCTCTGCCTTCGGATGAGTCCGTAGAGTCGAGTGGCCCGTACCCAGAGCTTGTTGGCTGCCTCATGTACCTGATGACCTGCACACGACCTGACCTTGCATACCCTCTTAGCATTCTTGCACGCTATGTTGCTCCTGGTAGACACAGACCGGAGCACATGGCTGCAGAGAAGAGGGTGTTGCGCTACTTGTGCAGTACGTCGGGCATGGGGCTAGTGCTTGGAGGGCAGAATCCAATGGTCCTCAGTGGGCACGCAGACACTTCTTGGGCTGATGACCAGGCTACGCAGCGGTCGTCACAGGGTTAGACCTTCAGTCTTGGTTCCAGCTCTGTTTCGTGGCGGGCTACTCGTTCGTCTTCTGTTCTCGGCTCCAGTTGTGAGGCTGAGATCTACGCCGGGACCATGGCTGCTCAGGAGCTTTGCTGGCTCACCTACGTGCTGACTGACCTTGGAGAGCCACCTCGTTCTCCTCCAGTGCTGTACGTAGACAACAAGGCCATGCTGGCCTTGTGTCGAGAGCAGCGTCTAGAGCACAGAACGAAGCACATTGCTCTCCGCTACTTTCTTGCTCGTGAGCTGCAGCAGCTTGGTCATTTGCGACTTGCGTACGTGGCCTCTAAGGCCAACACTGCTGATGTTTTCACCAAGGCACTTCCGCCTTGTGATTATCAGCGCAGCTGGAACTAGTACCTGTCTTACCTCACTAGCTCACCTCTTGATCTTCTTGTACTCTTGCATATATATACCTGCTCTTGCTTGTTTAGTTTTATATATATATGTGCACTCCTGCATGTGAACTGGCCTTGTGGCCTTGACCTTGTGCTCGGACTGTGTGGTGACTTTGTGATCCACCCTGAGCTTGCTTTGCTTTGCTTTGCTTGACTAGTCTTGTGACCCCTTGTTCTCCCCCACTTTGCCTATGGGGGTGTGTCAGAACATTATATAGCTTATACATTTATGTAGGCTGTAGTGGGGTATCCCATAGGGGGTACAACCCAATTAGGGTTAGTACTTGTACCCACTTCATTCATAGTTCATTCATTCTCGTTCAACTTTTCTCACTTGCACACACGGCCGCCCCGACGCCGGCCGGTACTTCGCCTTCCACACCTCCAGCGACAGCGTCTCGTAGAAGATCACATCGAGCGACATGACCACCTTGTTGTCGGTCAAGTCCAGCTCCTCCCAGCCCTTGCTCTCCAGGGACACGCCCAAGTGAAGCCCCCAGTGAGCCTTCGGCGCCAGCTTCCCACCGCGCTGCTGCTCGGGGACCGTGAACTGCACCATGCAGCCCCATACCCACGCCAGCGTGAGATCTAGTGCGAGGGATGACCAAGCCGCAGGTGCCAAAGGTCGTCGTCTGTGCGGACTCCATGAGTGCGTAGGAATTTTGCGTGGTGTGCGGCTGTCTTTGCTTCTATCTCGTCCGGGATGCAGATAACAGGTCCTTCTTCTCCAGGTTCTGCTTTTGCTTCCTCCTCTTCTTCTGGTTCTGCTTCTGCTTCTCCTTCTGCATGTGCTGTTGGCAGATAGAGGGCGAGAAATTTGCGGTCGGGGATGATTTTGAGCGGAGTAGTGGTGCCTTCATTGAAGCGAACGGATGGGTCTGGACGTAAGAGGGGTCCGTATGCGCCGCGTGGTGGAGTTGCGGGCACATTCCTGTGATCAAGCTCGGACCAGGTAGAGTGCCAGACATGAGGTGAGCGGGGAGGTGATGATAAGTTGCGCAGAGGTCACCCGGGGGGAACTACGATTCTTGGTGGGGTCCGTTCGGCGGCCACTTCTCTCTCTACCTCCTCTAGTTCTTCTCGGGTGAGTTCCCCTTCAGCTACTCCCCATGGTCTAACGTTGTCCCATCCTCCTCCGCCGGTGCGCCAGCCACTTATAATACCCAACACCAGTTGTTGACGCCCATGTTCCTCCTTTATTGCTCATGTCTTCTGTGATGCCCCATCCCCATCCCTTAGTGGGGACGGTCCTTGCCGCTTCTTCGTCCCATCCAGCCGCAGTTTAATCCCTGATGATTTGCTCCCTCTTCTCTTTCTTTGCCTTTTCACCTATTTTTAGACGTTGAGTTCCTCTGGTGTGTCAGAATCTTTCCATTCCTTGTTTTTTTGGCGGTGGAACTCGCGGGTGTAAGGGAGTAGCTGATTCTACTCGTCATCCGCTCTCGTTGCCTCTCCTTCCAGGATCCAGCGAAGGGTTTCAATTGCAGGTGCGGGCCGTTCCTGTTCTGGTACGCCGAGTTCTTCTTCTTTGGCGACGAAGATGCGGTAGGAGGAAGTCGCAAGTTCCGTCTCTGTCACTGGTACCGTCGGTTAGAGTACACATGGAGTAAAGAAGCCAGTGTGGATATTCTCCATCATGACTTAACAAAAGAGATCGAGCAATTCGTGCCATAATCCAGGTGGCATGCCGAGTACAGATAAGATAATAAATATGTAGGCAAAGATTTTATATAAACATTTTTTAAGAAGCAAGGCTGCTTATAGGGAAGACGGACAGTCTTAGGTTAATAATTTGCTCGAACTCTATTGGTTTCGGGACCACGGGCGTGCTACTCGCAAAGGTCTAGCGCACGGCAAACAAGGGACGAGCGTGCGGTTAGTAGGGGACTGGCGTGCGATGGGAAGGGGACGGTCGCAGGACGAGTAGGGGACGGGCACGTGTTGTCAAACTATCATGCTGTGTGTGCTGTGTAGGCTGTAGTGGGGTAGCCTATACGGGGTACAACCCAATTACGGTCATAGTTGTAACAAATTTCTCCTCAATGCATTCATTCCAGCTCGTTTGTTTCTGACTCGTGTAACTGGCAGGGGGCGGGCAGGCACGCGAGGGGTACGGGTTAGACACTCGCCTGGCAGGAGTGAGGGGGGGGGGGGAGGGTTGATGGGGGAAGGCAATAGGCAAAGAACGAGCAATAGAAATGACTAGCAATTCTTAGGGGTGTGTTTTCCACTTTCTTCCTGTCTGAAATTTTGTCTGTTCAACAAGAACAGCTCAGAACATGTTGTGAATAATACACACACTATGATATCTTATTGATTGTGTAAAAGCAAGATATGCTAATATCGGATATATCTTCTCGCATTCAACTTTGAAGTGACACGGAGCGCGATCTCTCCTTCCCAGAGCTTGTTCGCCAATTTCGCTCGCAGCAATTCCGCGTGAAGCGAATCGCATTCGGTGCAAACCCTTGCCCAGCCCATCGCAGGTTCGCCGCACCTCACTCATCGTCGGCCACGCTCACCCCATTCGATCGCTGCAAACTAACCGTTAATCACCGCGTCGGTGCTCCTTCCTAAGCTACTGGCTTGGTTCGAGAGTTTACCTCTGTTACGAGTGACTATTTAGGTGAGGATTAGTCGCAATCTGAATCTGATAACCTAAGCCTAGTAACGCAGCCCTCAGTCACAAGCTTCTCCCCATTTCGCAACCGCTCCTAATCGCCCACGACTGTTTTGTTAGAATCCCTCTTCTCTTGTAACCTGCATATATGATATAGGTTAGGCTAGAGTTAAGCACCCAAACTTAGTTTGGGTGTACAAACAGGGGTAACCCAGTTTGTAGGTTGGAACCCAACCTTGGTCCAATTATTGGACCCCAAAAGGTTCGGTTGGGTAGAATTATTGGCCCCCTCCAATAATGTTGGCCTTGGCCAACATTATTGGACCCCACCAATAATCTCCCAACCCAACCTCTTAGTTGGGGTCCAATAATGGCACCTTAGGCTAGCATCAAACCCCATTACTATATATACCCCCCTTGTTTCTCTATCAAACAATCAACTTCATTCGTAACTCCTCTCACATGGTATAGAGCTATCAATCCTAGGCCTACCCCACTCGTTTCAAAGGCCCACCCGGCCGCCGCAACCCCCGACCTCCTCCCTCATTTTTTTTTTCCTCGCGGCTATCCTGTCGCCCTCCCCCCCCCTTTTTAGCGCCCTTTCCCTCCACAGCTCCGCGGCCTCCCTAGCCGCTGTGGCCCGCGCCGCTCCCTTCCGCGGCCTTGTCGCCGCCTCTGCGCCCGCTTCGCCACGGCCTTGCCAGCTGCTGCCGCCCGCGCCGCTTCTCTCCACGGCCCCGACGCCGCTTCTGCGCCCGCCTCGCCGCGGCCTCCCAAGACGCCGCCGCCCGCGCCACTTCGCGGCCTCGACGCCGCCTCCGCGCCAGAGCAGCCGCGGCCTTGCCAGCCGCCGCCGCCCGCGCCGCTCCCCTCCGCGGCCTCGTCGCCGCCTCCGCGTTAGCGCAGCCGCGACCTCGCCAGCCGCCTGCCGCCCGCGCTGCTCCCCTCCGCAGCCTCGACGCCTCCTCCGCGCCCACCTCGCCGCGGCCTTGCCAGCCGCCACCGCCCGCGCCACTCCGCGACCTCAACGCCGCCTCCGCGCCAGCGCAGTTGCGGCCTCGCCAGCCGCCTGCCGCCCGCGCCGCTCCCCTCCGCGTCCCCGACGCCGCCTCCGCGCCCGCCTAGCCGCGGCCTCGCCAGCCGCCGCCGCCCGCGCCGCTCCCCTCCGCGGCCCCAACGCCGCCTCCGCGCCCGCCTCGCCGCGGCCTCGCCAGCCGCCGCCACCCGTGCCACTCCGCGGCCTCGACGCCGCCTCCGCGCCAACACAGCCGCGGCCTCACTAGCGGCTGCCGCTTGTGCTGCTCCCCTCTGCGGCCTCGACGCCGCCTCCGCGCCAGTGCAGCCGCTGCCGCTCGCGCCACTCCCCTCCGCGGCCTCGACGCCGCCTCCGCGCCAACGCCGCCGCGGCCTCACCAGCCGCTGCCACCAGCGCCGCTCTCCTCCGTGACCACTGCGGGTCCACCCGCAGCCGTCCATCATGGCTAACGCCACACCTTCCCCCTCCCCCCTCCCTCCTCCTATTGATCCCTCCTCCATCGATAAATTGCAGCTTGCAACGGACAAATCCGCCGTCAACTGGCACTCATTCTTTGGCAGCATCCAACGGGTCCTCTTCGACGCATGGGTTCCCCCCTACCGCGTCCTTGACGTCATCCTCCGCCGTCCCCATGCCCTCCCCCCCACCGAACCTGATCACCCCGGCGAGACTCCTCCTCTCCCTCCCTCTCCTGGCGATCCCCCTCTTGAACCCGACCTCCAGCTCACCACCGACCAGGCCACCGCTGATGCAGATTTCATCTTACGCCGCCGTGCATACCTTATCCGCAAAGCCGAGTACGATGCAGCAGTTGACGCCTATGACCAGGCGGTTGCTGGCCGCAATGCTCACCTCGCCATCGTCGCCAAATACAAAGACGACATAGCTGCCTTCACCCCAAAACTCATTGCCTGGACAGCTGCTGATACCCGCGCCTGCGCCGTTCTCCTTGGTGCTCTCCCTGACTCCCTCATGCGCCGCTTCCACGCTCGAGAACTCCGTCATCTGGGCAGAACTCCATGCCATGTTTGAGCGTCGCGACATCAGTTCCGTCGGCATCCTTTTTCAAGAATACTTTTCAATCACCCTCGCCACCTGTGACGGAGCGGTTGACTATGTCGGACGCATGAGAGAGGTAGCTGATCGCCTTAAAGCCCGCCAAGCCGGCCTCTCTGAACCCCTCCAAATCCATCGCCTCCTTTTCAACCTCACCCCAGACTATGAATCCCGCCTTCACGCCTTTACCGAAGCCAATCCCATGGCTGATCTCGCCTCCGTTGAACAGTGGATCATTGATACTGAAGTCAAACTCCGCACTCCCATTGTCAACCTCGCCTCCTCCCAACCCTCCTCCTCCTCCCTCAACGCTACCCAGCCCTGCAAGCAAAGCAAGAACAACGGCAAAGGAGGAGGTGGGGGCAAGGGAGGTGGCGGTCACGGAAGCAGCAGCGCAAGCAGCCGTGGTGGCACCGCAGGGGATGAGCATGGCACCACCAATTCAGGCGGAGCCTCTGCGAGCCGCGGGAGTCGTCCTGGCACTCTTCCTCCCTGCACATATGTCCGCCGCTATGGTCCCCGGGCTGGAACACCCTGCGGGCAGACCAACCATCCCCCTAGCACTTGCTTCAAGGCTCTCGACGATGCTTGGTACGCACGAGGTAACGTTGGCACTCCTCCAAAGTGGGGCACGATTTCCCCACATCCCTCTCTTGCCGACATCCAAACCAACCCCGCTTACCTCCCTGCCCACCTCCGCCTCCTTGCTCCTCCCACACCTTTCCTCAATCTTCAGCAGCAGCATCTCCTGCAGCAGCAGCAATAGCAACAGCATCAGCAGCAACTGCAACAGCTGTTTCAGCAGCAGCAGCAGCCGCACCCACAGCAACACCCATGGGGTACTGGACTCCTACCCCAGTGGGGACCCAGCCCTCCTCTTTGGCAGCAGCAGCAGCTGAATTCTGGCATAGCTGCCATAGCCGCTCAAGCCTCACCGGCCCCCCTTTGGGGTGCTCCACCCCCTAGTAGAACTGCCCCTCCTCTTACCCAGGAGAGCTTTCTTCGCAACATTGCTATCTCACCCTCCCTTCCTTCCATGTACCCATCCACCATTAATGAAACTGCTTTCCAGTACCCCGTCTCTTCCTCCTCCTCACCCACTCTGGACTTTGTCCTCGATAGTGGGGCCACTGAGACAGCTCTCAAGGATGCTGGTACACTCACACCCCTCTCCCCTCCCACTCAAGTTCACGGCGTTGACAGCAGCTTAACCATCCCATACACACACCTCTCCACTCTCCCCTGCACACTCTTCCCCTCTAGTAAGATAACTAGTCTCCACATCCCCACCCTCCGAAACAACCTCCTCTCCCACCATGAAATCCAAAATGCAGGTATCACTGCCGTCTATCCAGGTAATGCCACCTACTGTGACCTCTACCACACCGCCACTAGTCGCTTCCTTCTACGCATTCCCCTCTGCCCCCGCACTCGCCTCTACACTCTCCGCACCCCTTGGCCATCCTTCTGCCATGTCACCACTCGTGCTGGCACTTCCACTAACCCTCCCCCTCCCCCTACCTCACCTCCACGCCACCAACAAGGGCCGCAGCAGTAGCAGCAGCAGCCGCCGCCGCAGAGGCAGCAGCAGGGGCCGCAGCAGCAGCAGCAACAGCCGCCGGAAGGGGCCGCAGCAGCAGCAGCAACAGCAGCCGCCGCCGCAGAGGCAGCAGCAGGGGCCGCAGCAGCAGCAGCCGCCACAGCAGGGGTAGCCTCAGCAGCAGCAGCAGCAGCAGCAGTCACCTCCCCCTCCCTCACTCACTCCAACCCCCTCCACCTCCGATCATCTCTCCCACCCCGCTGTGCTGCTCCACCACCGTCTCGGCCACCCCAATTTCGCCGCTCTCCGCACTGCCATCACCTCTCGCCTCCTTCACAGCCTCCCTCCCACTCTCCCCCCCCTCCCTTCCTCTCCAGCCCCTCCATGCACCTCCTGCATCCACGGCAAACTCAAACAGTCCCCCCACCACAGCCACCCATCCTTTGCTCCCGCTCCAATTGACCTAGTCCATATGGACCTCTTAGGACCCTCCCCCACTCGTTCCCGTCAGGGCCATCGCTACATGCTGGTCCTCGTAGATGACCACAGCCGCTACTCCTCCATTTTCCTCCTCCACACGAAAGACCAGGCACCGACCATGATCATTAACTGGGCCGAGCAATGCTGCGCCCACTTCAAGCGTCCCATCGGCCGCCTACACTCTGAAAGGGGAGGCAAATTCCTCAATCGCACTCTCTCCCATTACTGCACCACCCATGGCATCCAACAGACCCTCACCCTCCCCCACTTCCGCAGTAGAATGGCGTCGCAGAAAGCCGGATTCGCGAAATCACCATGATCGCCCGCTGTCTCCTCGCTCACGCCTCAACCCCCCCTTCCCTCTGGGGCTATGCTTTGCTCCATGCTGCCCTCCTCCTCAACCGCCACTCCCATCCTCAACATACCACCACCACCCCCACGGAGCTTTGGTCGGGCACCAAACCTGACGCCGCTGGTCTCTGTGTCTGGGGTTGCAAGGCATATGTCCATATCCCTCCACCCGATCGCACCCACGGCAAGCTCGCTTCTCGCGCCCTCGAGTGTGTCTACCTCGGGCACAACCGCGACTCGCCTGGCTACCTCTTCCTTCACCCTCCCTCTAGACGCCTTATCCGCAGCATTGACGTCGTCTTTGACGAAACCACCCCCTATTACTCCTCTTCACCACCAGACCCCCTCCCTCCTCCTTCACGTCCTCTCACCTGGACCGACTCTGGGCTCCCTCCCCTCCTCCCTCCTGCACCCCTTCTCCCACCTCTCCCTACTCCGCTTCCGCCACCCTCATCTGCCGACATCTACGATCCCACTGCTCTTGCATCCCCTGCACACTCCGCAGCCCCCCCTCCTTCCTCTCCTCCCCCCTCTCCTTCTCCTCCGTCCCAGCAGCTTGGGCAGCAGTAGCAGCAGCCGCAGCACCAGCAGCACCAGCACCAGCAGCATGGGCAGCAGCAGCAGCAGCAGGGGCAGCAGCCGCCGCCGCAGCAGCAGCAGCAGCAGCAGCAGGAGCAGCAGCAGCAGCAGCAGGGGCAGCAGCAGCAGCAGGGGCAGCAGCATCGGGAGGAGCAGCAGCCGCAGCAGCAGCAGGGTTTCCAGCAGCACCAGTAGCAGCAGCGGCAGAGGGCAATTGCCCGCTCCTCACCCTTCCTCCTCCCTCGCATGCACACCCGCTCCCTCGATCCCATCTTTGGCACACCGCCACCTCCCTCCCTCAACCAGCTCGAGGATTCCTAGGAGGAGTTCACCATAGTCCAGCGCCACACTCCCTCTCTCACCACGCTCTACCCTGGCCTCCTCGGCGCTCTAATCCTTAGCGCGATCTCCGCTCCCACCATCTTCGTCCCCCCCAACTTCCAGGAGGCTATCACCTGCCCTGACGCTGACAAGTGGATAGCCGCCATCTTCCTGGAATGTGAGGCATTTATCCGCAACGACTCCTTCATCGACGTTCCCCTTCCCCCTGACGCCAACCTTGTCAAGGGCAAGTGGATCTTTCGAGTCAAGCAGCTGCCGGGAGAAGAACCAGTCTACAAAGCCCGCTACATTGCCAAGGGGTTCACCTAGACCTGGGCTGAAGACTACTGGTTCACATTTGCCCCCATTGTCAAGCAGGCCACCCTACGCACCCTCATGGATATTGGTGCGCGTGACGACATGGAGATTGACTCCATGGACGTCTCCAACGCGTTCCTGCAAGGCGAACTGCACGAGCGCATCTACCTCCGTCGGCCTCCCGGGTTTCATGCTGCTTTCCCTGACAACACCGTCTGGCAACTTCGGCGACCTGTTTATAGCCTGAAGCAAGCACAACGAGAATGGCATGCAAAGCTGTCTGCCACTCTCCACTCCCTTGGTTTCTCCGCCTCCCACTCCGATGCCAGCCTCTTCATCCGCTCTTCCCTCCGTCGCTTCTTCATCTCGGTCTACGTTGACGACATGATCCTGCTCGCTGACACCAAGGCCGACATGGAGCAAGTCAAGCGTGTTGGAATCACTGAACAGGAATGAATGAACTAGCAGTCAAATGAGTACAAGTACCTAACCCTAGAATTGTGTACCCCCTATAGGCTAACCCACTGTAGCCTAAACTAACACAACATATATAATGTTTGACACACCCCTATAGGCAAAGTGGGGGAGAACTAGGGGTCACAAGACCAGTCAAGGCAAAGCAAAGCAAAACAAGCTCAGGGTGGATCTCAAGGATACCACACAAATTCCGAGCACAAGCAAGTGGTCACAAGACCAGGTCACATGCAGGTTTACAATAGAGCAAAAGGTACAATGATCACAACCTAACAAGAGTAAACATGCAGATATATATATAGAGATCACAGTACAAACAGACTCAAGAAGTAAGCAAGTGAGGTCCAGTAGGCACAAGGCCTAGAAGAGTGCAAAAGCGCTGATGGTCACAAGGCTGAAACACCTTGGTGAACACATCAGCAGTGTTGGCCTCAGAGGCCACGTAACGCAGGCGAAGCTGACCACGCTGCTGCAGCTCTCGAGCAAGGAAGTAACGCAGAGCAATGTGCTTCGTTCTGTGCTCCAGTCTGTGCTCCTCACACAAGGCAATGGCTGCCTTGTTGTTGACGTTCAGCACTGGAGGAGAACGAGGCTGCTCTCCAAGGTCGCTCAGCAAGTAGGTGAGCCAGCGTAGCTCCTGGGCCGCCATGGCTGTGGCGTAGATCTCAGCCTCACAACTGGAGATGAGAACAGAAGAAGAGCGAGTAGAACGCCAAGAAACAGAACCAGAGCCAAGACTAAAGGAGTAACCCTGAGACGACCGCAGAGTAGCCTGGTCGTCTGCCCAAAAAGCGTCTGAGTGCCCAGTGAGAACAACTGGGACTCGCCCTCCAAGCACTAGCCCCATGCCCGACGTACTGCACAAGTAGCGCAACACCCTCTTAGCTGCATCCATGTGCTCCTTCCGGTGACGGCCGGGAGCGACATAGCGTGCAAGAATGCTGAGAGGGTATGCAAGGTCTGGTCGAGTGCAGGTCATCAGGTACATGAGGCAACCCACAAGCTCTGGATACGGGCCACTCGGCTCTACGGACTCATCCGAAGGCAGAGCTGAGAGCGAGTGACCGGTAGGCAGAGGAGTGGGCTGAGGCGAGGAGTACGTGAAGCGGAAGCACTGAAGGACCTGCTGCACCATGTGTGACTGAGTCAAGGTGATGGTGCGGCGTGCTCTGTTCCGGGTGATCCGCAAGCCAAGATAGCCTGTCTGTTCACCCACGTATGTGCACGTGTGTCTTTTCTGCAGCTCCAACTTCACGTGGGCGAGTGCCACAGTGTTAGCAGTAGCAAAGACCAAGTCGTCAACATACACAAGGACGTAGAGCGGCGGCAGTGAGGTGTCGGTGCGTAGAAACAGCGACGGGTCAGCA